GTTTGTCATAGGGTAAACATTGTTTCTTTAATTCCTTAACAGTGGCTTCATGTTGAAACTCCACAATAATCTGATCACAGTTTGGTAACTTAATGCGCCTGTTAACTGGTCCGAATCCTTCCATAAACCCAAAGACTTAGTTATCAAGGTCTGTATCAGTTAACCCACTGATTAAAACAGCATTTGAAACTTTGACCTTTTCTGTTTTCACAACTTCCATTTTAAAACACTCAAAAGTACCAATAATGCCAAAATGGCAAACCACTGTGACCTCCAGGCACTCTTATGATGTCAGTCAATGGTTAGCTAAGGTAACAACTCTACAATTCTCCTGGCTGGCTCGCCAAGTTTTATGTAACCGGATTACAGGATACAATAAGATAATTAAAAGAAAAAATAAACAAATGGGCCAATAATTAGGTTCGGGGAGAATTGGAGGTTGTTTAAGAATGACTGGAGTCACGGGTATAGCATGAAACGGTTTATATACTAAATTTTAATAATAATGGGAAATATAACACATAAAGATAACACACAAAAACAGATGAAAACAATCGACAATAGTAAAATGCTCGGTATGAGATTTGATCATATGAGTCACAAGTCAGCCGGCGTCAAGTCAAATCCCCACGCTTGGGGTGAAAGTCAGAGTCCGGTGGTGCGATTTTTTCCTACCGCACCGTTGAGATTGTTCACAGAAGAGAGCAGTCTGCTCTTCAGTTACTTGAGATGTCCTGGTTCGTTCAGTGGTTAAGGCTCGCCATCTCCCTCGTCAGGAAGAAATCCAGTTCTCGTTCCAAGTGAGTGATCATAGGAGTCGGGATCAAACCCAAGGAAAAAAAAAAAACCCAGCCTGTAAACAACAGGACTGTTAGCGAGTTGGCATCGACCCTTCTCGTCACATCACAGCATAAAGTCTTACAGACTTAAACAAATGCTTCACTCTATTGGCATAGCCAATCATGTTTGGGTTCACAGTTCAACTAACATAACATCAATTTGATTGTCTATTAAAATAATTCTCAGTAGCTCTGGAAATATAATTACATATGACAACAATTGTTCAGCTCAATAGGCTCAGTTAGATTCTATTACTCTACACTATTCAACAAGAAATACATTCATGACAACAAGGATACATTTAGTTGTGTTTCTATACAGCATTGTGACACCTTGTATATCTGTAACACAATAAATAAATAAATAAATAAATAAATAAATAAATAAATAAAATGTTCTATAACAAAATTCAACAAAATATAAATTCTGGTCCTTTGGTCCACCTTTGTAAAATAATTCCTCCCTAATCAGTTAGCTTTTATTTATTTTTATTTATCTATTTTTTTTATTATTAAATGTTTGGTTAAGGGACGCATTGCTAATTCTATGGCGTTAGCTATAACGCCCCTGAGGACCTTGTACATCTAGGCCGTACCACCATTAACTGGCGGTTTGAGCCGTTAACTCCTGGGAATCCCATATGCCCTACCGCCGTTAACTGGCGGTTTGAGCCGTTAACTCCTATATGCCCTACCACCGTTAACTGGTAGTTTGAGATGTTAACTCCTGGGATCTAACGTCTAGCAGCCCACTGCTGTCACCTCGGTTGCTGTAATTAGCTTTTTGAATTTAATAATTTACTGAATTTAATCTCATTCACTCACCAACGCGCTCCAACGGTTCCCTCCTACAGAGGATTGGTTCACTCTGTCGTCTCCACACAAATCTATAAGAATGGAATTAATTTGATAAGCTATTTAAGTTTCCTTTTTTTTTTTTAAGTTGCATCGTTAGCTTTTTCTCTTCTTTTTTCTTTACTCACCGCGTTGGTTCCAAGTTCCTAGCTCTTATTAGAAGGAGTCAAGTCCGCCTCTCCCTCTATCTATGCGACACCCAAATCAGGGTTCTTCACGGCCTCGACCGTTGTTTTTTTTTCTCTCTCTCTCTCTCTCTAACCGCTCAGTCTTTGCTTTCTGTATCTGCGTGCTGCACAGCCGTTTGTCTCTCCTCTCGCTCAGCTGCGTCGCACGGTTTTATTTCGCGGAGGCGGGACTTATTTCTCTCAGCCAATGAAATTTCAGATTCCCACCTGGACCAATAGTATACAGCTTTCCTCTTCTGTTTCTGTTAGGGATGTTCAAGATTCTTGTTTTAACCGATGTTTAATATTAAACTCGTTATTTTAGTTATTCACCCTTCCAATAATTCATTATGAAATTATCTATTAGTTAATTAGATATCTATTAATTAGTATTGTTAATTTCCTTAATTTATATTTTATATTTTATCTAAATTGAGGATGGATCATATTAGTAAGCCAATTAGTTAATACCTCATTAAGGTTCTAGCTTCTGGGTTACATGTTTAACCTCACCCAGCAAGAGGACCCTCTGTGTGGATCCGGAGGTCAAGGAGGATGTTGTCAGCCTCAGGGTACTAGGCCCGGTAGAGAAGACTCGAGTAGAACCGATCCTCTGGTCCAGAGATGTTGCGGGTACCCGGTGTAGAGTGTCTTGCTTAACTCTGAAGGAGTTTTGCGTCAGCTGGTTACAGTGCGTTTATTCAGAGCTATTCTATCGGTGTGACAGAATAGCTTAGTAGAGAATTGGGCGGCCGTCCCTTTTCTCCTGTTATGGTTCAAGAACTGAACTTTTGCTGCGGGATTTTTAGTTTTAACAAAACCCTCAGAACACGCCCACTCTCAGCGTCAGAAAGCTTGGTCATGAAATAAAAACATGTTATGATTTTACCCTGGAGATCCCTTCTGAATGAGGCTGGTTACGTGCAAGATGACCTTCTGGTTTGCTGAACACACATAAACAATAATCATTATTAACCCAAAGCATAATAAGTCATTTCAGTAATTAAAATACATTTATACTGAACCAAGAGATTATTTATGATGATTGTAATAACAGTAATAAATTCAAAAGTTTATTAAAATTATAATTTAAAATTATTATTGTGAACTTAAAGTGTCCTTCATCCTGGGACGGAACAGCAGCAGATAAAGATGATTTTAACAGTGGTGGGCAGTCAGGGCCAGCAAAGCCTTCTCTGCTGGCCTAAACGTACTCAAAAGCGTAAATGTATTTTTTTCCCTTTGGTAATTATTTTTAAATAAAAAAAATGTTTACTGGTCTATTTTCTTTATATCCTATTATAACCACTTGGCTGCGCTGCTTCCAGTGTTAAAATACCAAGGCTGGGTGTTATCCAATCAGATTTAAGCTAGCTTGTGTTTTCAGGCAGATTAAGTCTGCTCTAGGCCTTCAGAATCAACCGAGAAGCCCACTGTCCACTGTAAGTGAACAGAGACGATCTAGTTGCGATAGCCAATCAGCTCACGAGTCAGCTTGGCCCGGGCCAGCTAGCTGGCCTCACGCAAAAGTTGACATGAACGCATCCTGTGATTGGATAAGCAGTAGTTTGAACTTTTCTAGCAGCATTAAGCAAAATATCAAAACTAAACACGGAGATTTGTATCTATAGGCAGCTATCGGTGTATTTTTGTACAAATGATGGCTGAAAGAGGAGAATAGACAGACTTGGTTGCAGATTAACTTGCCACACCATTTTCAAGACGGACCTTTCAAGAAAAAATGGATATTGTGAGAACAGGTCATCTGACTCCAACGCTAGCTGGCTTGTCCCAGCAGGGGAAAGGATTTGTTCGTCATTTTCAGGCAAGCAACTATGAACGGTACCCATGGCAGCTTCAGAGAACCGCTGCAGGTTATTCTGCTGGGAATGCCCGTTGCTCGCATCAGATGGATTTGCTAGCATTAAAGCGCGTTAAAATGTACGCCAGAAACACGACCGGACGGACACGTCTTTCAGCATTAGCCTCCATGCCCATAGAAAAGGATCTACTCATGGACCTGAAGCGCACAGATAAACTGTACAGAGCCATTGAGGTTTTCCTGAGGAAAGAAAGAAGGATGGATTTTATTTTCTAATGAGCAGGAGAGGAGGAGATCCATGCTGGACATTTATGTTGGTGAGTAGAAACATTTTATTAGTATTTTTTTAAATGTTTTGTCATTTTATTTTGTTAATAACCAATAAATGGTAACGAAATAAAATGGCAAAATTAAATTATTCTGTGTTCTGTTTCTATGCAAATTATATTGTGTATGACGTGGTGTGTGCAGCTGCGCCAACATGTTCAATTGTTTCGCAGTACAATTTTCTCCAAAACAAATGGAAATAATGTGTTTGCTTTACTTATTTATTTTATTGTCTCATCTCTTAAACCCGTCTTTCATTTCTGAGATTTGACAGTATCCGTGGTCAGCTTCCTACTCTCAACTGGGAATGCGAGTTTGATTTTAAAGACTCTGGAAATTATGTGTCTTGACCAGCCACTGGTGTGTGTGTGTGTGTGTGTGTGTGTGTGTGTGTGTGTGTGTGTGTGTGTGTGTGTGTGTGTGTGTGTGTGTGTGTGTGTGTGTGTGTGTGTGTGTGAGGTTTCTCCAGCTGTGATGTCCTATTGATGGTATTTTAAGGTGTATTAAATTAGATTGGACTGAATAGGAAATCACTGAAGGCCCAGGGGTGGAACGCACCGCCCGCCACTGGATTTTAAGCAGACATCATGGCTCCTTGCATGTTTAATCTGTGGGGAAATGTTACAGTCGACCCAGCTTGACCCAGCTGGTTAAATGTGAGCTTTGTCACAAATTACAGGCCATTCATGATGCTACAATGTGCATTGGACATTTAGAACCGGGTGTTTCATCACCTTGTATATTGTTGTCTTCACATTAAATCAGCAGTGACAAATTACAGGCTTCTTCCAATATAGACATTTTTATTGTAAATAACCAAATACATATTTGTATATGAACAATACAATGGTGATGCAGAGTAAATGTTGATATCTTGAGATTTGAGTCATTTTATATGGTTAAAATCTGCTCCTGACTAGGTTTCTTAGAACATCCTGATTCTTAAAACTAAGTTTAAATTATTTACTGACTGATATCGATTTCAAATAACTAGCTTAAATCCTTTGTAGTCCCACGACCCATTATGGTTTTCTTAGTGTTTCTCTCTGGTCTCATCAGGATTATGTAACATTTGGGTCCAAACAGAGCCACCAAGAGGCCAAAACTGGAAGCCAGGATGGCAAACACCTCCACTGCATCTGCGTATCTTCCTGGAGAGTTGATATAAGCAGGAACAAAGGCCACCCACACAGCGCAGAAGATCAACATGCTGAAGGTGATACACTTTGCCTCGTTGAAGTTGTCTGGAAGATTTCTTGCTAAAAATGCTAAGGCGAAGCTGAGACTAGCCAGTATGCCAATGTAGCCAATTAAAACTGAAAATCCCAATTTTGAACCAACTTCACACTCATAAATTATCTTATCATTGTGGTATTGGGTGTTTCTATGTGGTGTTGGTGATGCAGAGATAATCCACACAACACAGACTGCTGCCTGAATGCAAGTAAGAACAAAAACCGTTCCTCTCTGCTGTGCAGGACCAAACCACTTGAGATGGACCCCTCCTCCTGGCTTGGAGGCCTTGAACACAGCCAGAACCACCATGGTTTTCACCAGGATGCATGAAACACAAAGAACAAAGCTGATCCCAAATGCTACATGTCTCATTTGGCAGGTCCACAGATGGGGCTGTCCAATGAACAGCAGTGAACAGAGGAAGCACAATTTGAGTGACATTAGGAGCAGAAAACTCAGTTCTGAATTGTTGGATCTTACAAGAGGAGTTCTGCGATGATAGATGAATATTCCCAGAACAACGGAACAGATTAATGCGCCCAGCAACGAGGTGGTTGTCAAGCAGATACCTAGAGGTTCCTGATAGGACAGGAACTCCGTTTTCTTAGGAATACAGTGGTCACGTTGCGGGCTGGACCAGGAGTCTTCTGGACAACTGAAGCACTCTCTAGAGTCTGGTAGTGCAGGAAAAAGTATTTAGTAGTTTGTGTACATAATTTAAAATATCTGAAGTCAATGAAACACACCAACCAGTGTTATTGCTCATCTTTCCTTCGGAACACGGGATACAGTCAAAACAGCATTCAGGTTGATTCTTTTTTCTGGCCAGTCGATAACCTGGAGGACAGCTATCACTGCACACTGAACGTGGTGGCTGAAGAAGGAAAAAAAGGTTCTGCCTTACAAAATTACTCTATAATAATATCATCTTTACAATTTAAAAAAAGCTGTCAGATAAATAAATAACCTGTTTGGATTCAAAGTTCCAGAAGAGTTTGTTTTCATCAAGCCTGAGTTCTTCACCTCTAAATGGAGACCTTTTTACTTCACCAACATACCGAACTGAAATTCCTCCATTTGAAAGCTGCTGCCAGTTCATCACATCATATATTGGCAGAGCATCACCGTTTTCATCAAATGTCACTTGATCTCCAAACAGAGTAGTGAAATTAACCTCTTGCAAATAGTGTAAGAGCTACATATGAGACGGGGTGGGGTGGCGGTGGGGTGGGGGTGGGGGGGGGGGGTGTCAGGGTCAGAAATCAACTTTTACAAATATTACAAAGTGAGTTTTAGGCACTCTGAGCATCACTCCATTGTTTATGTTTATTTAGCAGGCGCTTTTATCCAAAGCAACTTACAATGTTATAACCTATAGGGCATGTTGTGATCTGTGGGGGAAGCCGGAGTACCCGGAGGAAACCCACGCATGCATGGGGATAACACGCAGAAAGGCTGCAGCCAAGTTTCGAACCTGCAACCTTCATGCTGCGAGGCAACAGTGCTAACCACTGCGCCACCATGCAGCCCATTGTGTTTGTTGTAATAATTCATAAGAGCAACGTTCTGGTCTTAAAGTGACAATGTGTATTTTTCTTGGTGATAAGGGGCAGTACCTACATCCCTAAATCATTGCAAGCAAGCAGTATTTTTGTTGTCGAGTAAAACCTTACCAACGGATGGCCATTATGGTCAAAAATCCCTGGGAGTGCAACCTCCAGCAACGGGCTGGCAACGAGCAAAGAGGTAAAAGTGTAAAACAACAATGTTTGTGAGTGGCGAAAGTTTGTAACTGTTTGTTACGAATCAGCAAATGCATTTTGTCCTCAAGGGCTCCTGTAGAAGGAATCATGATGTCTACCAGAGACTTAGACCCGCTCCCATGTATTTTAGAGCAGATTTTTATGGTTTTATGTTATGAAGCCGCCAATAATTTTTAGCAACTGGGCATCATTCATCTGCATTTGAATGGACATTTCCAGGGATTAATGAGAAAAACTACACATTGTCTCTTTAATGTCAGCTGACTCAGAAATAATCTACTACCTGCCACGGCTCCAGACGTTGCAATGAGATACAGCTTTGCCCATTTAGGCGCTCCCTTTCCACTTCACACTTCAGCATACCATCAAGAGCATAGGCCAGAGCATACACAGCCTTATAAACATTATACTCAGGTCTTAGGTTAGTAAGATCCAAAAATTCAGGCTCTGCCATATTAATGTCTTCCTTTCCTGTGCAGAGAGCTTCATTTTCTTCCACCAAGTCTCCCTGATTAAATCGACAGTTAAACGTGTGCTCCCAAAACTGTTTTATCTGAAAAACAATGAAAAGTTAAGATTTAGAAACACTTTCAGATAATCACTCGTTAACATGTTGATAGCGCTACCAGATTGTTTTTGTAGTTGTTGTTTTTGTCAGGGTGTATTTGTAAGAGGAAGTCCTTAAGTCGTGGAATTTCTCCTCTACGGATGGCAATACCCAATGTGCCTCCAAGGTAAGGCATGAAGCGAGATGTCTGAAGCACAGCTGCCGTTGCCCAGGCCTCGCTTGCTATCCACTGTCGGTCTGTTACATTTTGGAGTAAAACCTGTGCAATAGGGAAAAAAAACACGTTCTTTGGTGAATTAGTAAAGAAAACAAGAAAAAAAAGACATCAGTAAAAACATTTAGTATTTTCATATGTGAATTTAAATGAATCCTTAAACATTTAATTTCTAATGCAGTTTAAACATCAAGCACTAAGAGTTATAAAAATAAAATTCTCTTTAAGCAGAACTGACAAGATGGCGGTCAGAATATTTTGAAGGACACACACGCACTAAAATAAAACTTCTTCTGCATCTTCTTACCTCTTCTGTCAGCCTGACTGTGTGAATCTCGTGTGCAAACACAATGACCACACGTGCTGCCGATGTCTTGATCACATTGACAATCCTCTTAAGTTCAACCGGGTTACTGTCCCAAGGCAAAACCTCAAGATAGGCCAGACAACCTCCACCTGAATGAGCCAGGTCAGACTGGAAAGTCTGGGCAACGTTGAATCCATAATCATCATCTGTGACCAGCAGACCCACCCACGTCCAGCCGAAGTGTTTCAGAATCTGAATTACAGCTTTTACCTGACAACGTTAACAACACGATGAGAGCAGGAAGCTTACAGGCTGGTAAACTTCATTTATTTTATTACGATGAAACCAAAATCATTGGAAAGTTGTTTCCAGCTGACATAACACCTTTCTATAAAATCGATAAGACATGTTTTGTAGATCTCCGATCACCTGAAATGCATCACTTGGTATTGTTCTGAAGAAAGATGGAAACTGTTGGCGATTACTCAGGCAGGAGCATGTAGCAAAATAACTCACCTGTACACACAGTTAACAGCATCAGTGAAGGCATAAGCATCCTGGTTTCAAACCAGATAAAAGATGAGAGAAATCAAATAGAAAGAGTAAACTCACAATTGGCATTTTGAATAAACCTAGTACATTAGCTATTGCAATGGAAAATGTGGAATAAGAGTCACCAACAATCCCCAGGACCGGAGGGGTGACTGCACAGTTCTCCTGAAGCAGAAACTGCTCATCCTGACTGCTGGCCAGTGATAACGCACCACTAAATCCAATGACAAGTGCACCACAGTTATCATAAAGACTGTATCCCAGTGTCACGTTAGGCAGCAAATCAGGGTTTTGGTTGATCTCACTGATAGCAAAGGCCATTGTCATTGCATCCCTGAATCCAAGAGTGTCAAACCTAACAAAGAAACAGCTTTTTATTCAATAATAAGTGAGCGTTTTTTGATTTTCAGTTATGATGTATGCAGAGGAATACATAAAAAAACATTAAACACAAGGATGCACATTTATGCTCATTTTTAATTATTCTGTGTGATCTCAAAAGACAACACAATCAGTCAAAATCAACTTGCTTTACTTCCAAACCTGCGAGAGACTTACCCAGTGCATGTTGGCTGCTGGGGCTCAGAGGTGAATGTCGCTTGGGGATAAACTGATGTGTAGTGGACCTCAAACAGCCCACCCAGAACCACATCTCCAGGCTCGTGTAGCTCATTAAGATAAAACTTTTTCCATAATTTACAAGACGAGGCAAAGGACTCAGACGCACAGAGCACCCAAGAGAAAGTTAACATCAAACCTGCACAAAGCAAAGTTCTCATAACTGTTCTCCCTTCACAGTTGTTTATATCATTCATTCAAAGGGACTACAATTTATACACACCATGATGTCATCGTGCTGGTTCAGGTTAATGATCATCATTAAGACCTTACCTGGAATTTAACTGTATTCAACCATCAAAGTATAACCATTAATCTTTAATAACAATATTGCAGGAAAACAATCACAACAAACTGTTTATTTTGTTATTGGGGGGGGGGGGGGGGGGGGGGGTAGTCTTGAAGTTGGAAGCATTTTAACTTTCGTTAAAAGCATTTGTTAAGCTTTTTAACAGCAATGGAACACAGGCTTTACATCAGCTGCACTGATTATGTTTTTAATCAGTTATTTTTTATTTTTAAAGCACATTTGGAAAAACTATTTAGGTTAAAAAAATGTTATGCCTCCTAACAAACTTCTATTATAATACATTGTATACATATGCATATGTATAAGAAGTGATTGTCTCACTTTTGTCTAAAATACTCCAATAACTACTGGACCATCCGATTGTCGGTCTTACAGAACCGCCGCATTTTCGCACTTATTTTGTAACAGAACACCTTCGGTGTGAGAGGTTTTATATATATATATATATATATATATATATATGGGGTGACGGTGGCACAGGAGTTAAGCGCTCGCCCCGCAATCGGAAGGTTGCAGGTTCGAGCTGTCAGGGTCTGTCGCTGTCGTTGTGTCCTTGGACAAGACACTTAACCCACATTGCCTGCTGGTGGTGGTCGGAGGGACCGGTGGCGCCAGTGCTTGGCAGCCTTGCCTCTGTCAGTGCGCCCCAGGGCAGCTGTGGCTACATCGTAGCTCATCCCCACCAGTGTGTGAATGTGTGTGTGAATGGGTGAATGACTGATTGTGTTGCAAAGCACCTTTGGGGGTTCCAGGACTCTAGAAGGCGCTATATCAAATACAGGCCATTTACAATATATATGATTTTCTAATCTAAAAAATACAAAAGACAAGGTCAAACCATATGAAGTTGATATTGTACTTTATGTTTCAATTATAAAACTTCCAGATGTTGGATCAACCAACACATTCTCGCACGAAGCATCGAAAACTGATGATGGGTGACCAAGCATTTCTAAGTTCTGGCGGGGAGCCAACGCACGGTGCCAGAGCGCCAGTTTTCGACGTCTGTGGTAAAACCAACATTTCATCAACATTTAACATTGAACCTCTTGCTATTTAACCTTCCCCTTACCCCCCTCCAAACCTTAACCCTGTTTCTCATTCTAATTTTCCTGTTAACCATGTTGGAGAGGGACGTTACAACTGGAAACAAAGTTTTACATGCGCAGTAGGGTTAAGGTTAGGATGGGTGTGACGGGGAGGTTAAATAGCAAGAGGGGAAAGGTTAGAATTTGTTGAAATCTTCGTTTTACTGCGGGCGCTCTGGAGCCCCAATGCATCTGAAGTGTAATTTTTCAACGCTTCAGGTGTGAGAATGTGTTGGATCAGCACAAATAAAGTCTGTTTTTCTTTTCTTTTAACTTTTGACTCATTGCTTAAGATGAGATGTTTCAAAATGTAGATTTTTTGGTTTGCGACCCATAATGGCTTGCCGTGTGTTTTGTTCTGGTCTCAACAGTATTATGAAACATTTAGGGCCAAATAATGCTATCAAGAGACCAAAACTTGAAGCCAGGATGGCAAACACCTCCACTGCATCAGCATATTTTCCTGGTGAGTTAATGTATGCAGGAACAAAGGCCACCCACACAGTACAGAAAATCAGTATGCTGAAAGTGATGAGTCTGGCTTCATTGAAGTTGTCTGGAAGATTTCTTGCTAAAAATGCTAATACGAAGCTGCTGACAGCCAGTAAGGCAATATAGCCGAGTAAAGCACTAAATCCAATAACAGAACCAACTAAACACTCATAAACTATGATGTCTTTGTGGTACTGGGTGTTTTTAAAAGGTAGCGGTGAAGCAGTGACAATCCATGCCGTACAGATAGCTGCTTGAATGCAGGTAAGGGCAAAAACGGTGCCTCTTTGTTGCACAATTCCAAACCACTTGAGACGGGCTTCGCCTCCTGGCTTGGAGGCCTTGAACACAGCCAGAACCACCATGGTTTTAACCAGAATGCAGGAAACACAAAGAACAAAGCTGATCCCAAAGGCTGCATGTCTCAGCTGGCATGTCCACAGTCTGGGTCTTCCAACGAACAGCAGCGAACACAGGAAACATAACTTCAGGGACAATAAGAGGAGAAAACTCAGTTCTGAATTGTTGGATCGGACAATGGGTGTTTGACGATGATAGGTGAAGATCCCGAGAACAATGGCACAGGAGAATGCACCCAGCAACGAGGCCGTGGTCAAACACGCACCCAGTGGTTCTTGATAGGAGAGGAACTCGGTTCTCTTGGGAACACAATGGTCACGTCGGGGGCTGGACCAGAAGTCTTCTGGACATCTGAAGCATTCCAAGGAGTCTGAAAATGAGAGGATTCCCATTTCTAATAAGTGAAAGTGATTAATACCCAATCAATTCTTTAAATCAATAAGGTTTCTGCAGCATTAGAGAAATCTTTTTTTTTTTTATATTGGCAAATGTATCAAATTGGACTTTGGGTGTCTTGTAAATGAAAATGTAATTATTTAAATGAGTCAGGGAGATAATTGAATGCACATGCAACCAACTATACCCATTGTAATGCTCTGTTTTAATGCAAAGCACAGAACAATGGAAACATTTATTTTGACTTTAGTCCCATCTTTACAATGATTAAAACATTTTGAAAACACTATAAACAACAAAAATAGACAAAAATGTGCTGTTGCTGAAATTGGCAAGAGCCCCAAAAGTTTATGCACTGACATCTCATTTACACCAAATGCAGAACAGATGTGGATCAGAATCCGAGTGGCTTCCACAAAAACTGAAAATCCCCTTTTCACGGTCTATGGTGTGGTGCACCTCTGGATGTGATGTGAAAAATTGGAACATTTCTGCATGATTTCTTTTTTTTTTTTTTTTTTTTTTTTTTGCAGCTTCCTCGTGTGAATTGTCATGAAGTTGAAGAAATTGCATGAGCCAGACAGGAAGTAAGACATGTGCCAGTGAAGTGCATTCGGTTTATTTCCAAATAAAACCTGTGCTGCAGCATTCTTTTGGATCCTTTTGTTGTTCTTAATGACCGGGATATCCATAAGAAGTGTATGACAGCACGAGGAGAAAAATGTGGCTTTTGTTTACCAACTCCCTTTTGATACATTCATGGACGTAATTTTCACTTTAGAAGTGTGTGTGTGTGTGTGTGTGTGTGTGTGTGTGTGTGTGTGTGTGTGTGTGTGTGTGTGAGGGGGGGTGGGGGTGGGGGGAATCTTTACAGTATGTTCTAATGGGTAACAGGCTTCAACACAAACGGTTGTTTTCCGCTTGGTCCTAGAGCTCAATCAGTGTCAATTTAATATAAAGTAACATTGTTTTTGGATGGTAAAAAGTGCAGGGATCAAAACTTGACTTTGGAAAAAGGGGTGGGGGGGGGGGGGGGGGTGGACAGGGGCATGTCCCCCCTGTCCCCCACCAAAATTACGTCCATGGATACATTTAGTTGTTATCGCCAGACAAAGCACACGATGCACAGTGGGTGCAAATGGCAGTCTGTCCGGAAGCTGCACGGATTCTATTCCAGAAAATACAAGTTCACTTTCTGTATGAAATAACACTTAATAACTAATACCAAAACAATACCAACCAGTTTCATTGCTGACCTTTCCTTCAGAACAAGCAATGCAGTAAAAGCAACACAAAGGCTCCCCTTTCCTCCTCACCATGTGCGTTCCTGGGGGGCAGCTTTCACTGCACACCGACCTGGGGGGCTGTTGAGACAAAGCAGGACCTCAGCAGTTTTCTACACAGAGGCATGGATTTTAAGCTGTATTAAACCAAACAATAACTTTGCAACCTGTTTGGATTCAAAGTTCCAGAAGATTTTGCCTTCATCGAGCGTGAGCTCGTCACCTTTAGAGGCGGACCTCTTGACCTCACCCACACGCTGAACTTTACTTTTTCCGTCAGGGAGCTGCAGCCAGTTCACCACATCGTATATGGGTAAAGCATCACCGTTCTCATCAAATGAGACTTGGTCACCGAAGGATGTGGTGAAATTAACATTTTCTAGGTAAAACGCAAACTAGGATAGGAGAGGAAACAGGTTAAATCCAGAATTCTTTGCTTGTGAAAAGCATTTCACGAGTAATTTAAATTTAATTATCAGTTTTGCAGCTCTATGAAATATATTTTTGATTTATAACCATGCAATACATTTAGTCAAATCAACTCATTAAAACAACTTCGATTTCTTGAGTAATTTCTTACACAACAATTGAATAAATATCTAATAACTCTATCATTACAAAATGAACTTTACTGTCTTTGCTAGTTTAAGAAGTAATTTCTTTCTACATAATATATATAAAAAACTGAATATATAATGTTCTAGAGTGATTTGGCGCCACATAAATAAACCAATTGCAAACAGCATGAGCACCTACACTCAAAAACATGATACATTAACTGAATTGTTTGATTTTTGTCATTAAGGACAGAAAAAAATATATGCTTAATTTACTTATAATCTCATAGATGGGACATCTACAGGTGAAACTTGAATGGCATATTGTGCAAAGTTCATTCATTTTTCTTTTGTTGGTTGTAACGTAGGAGGACCCAATCAAAAACGAGATCGCCCGTCTTAAGCAGTTTTTATCCTCCTAAAATATAAATACGTAAACAAATGAGTACATTTCAGTTCAATTAAAAAAGTGAAACTAATTAATGCGATGAACTCATTACATGCAAAGATATAATTCATACGTTTTTTGTTACTTTTGGGATGAAAATGGCTCACAGCTTATCAAACTCCAAATTTTAAATCTCTGGAAATTAAAATATTGCTTAAAATAAGTAAAATAAGATTTCCATATAGGGAAATGTCACACATCTGAAACAGTGTAGTCATGCATGTGTACTTAGTATTTGGTTTGTGCCCTTTTTGCTTTTACATTAGCACAATATTAAAATAGTATTGGGTATAAAGACAAATTTTAACAACAAAACAATTAAACTTGCAAATTAATAATATGCATGCTTGAATTTAAATTGACTGAAGAACAGTGACAAGTGATGTAATAATTTATTGAGCATGACTGACAGTTTATATGAAACTAACATACCTGCCAGAGCTCCAATGTTTGCAAACTGGAGCAGCTCTTCTCTCCAAAGGCATCAGGAACACATAGCATGTCGTGTAGAGCATGTGCTAATGCATACACAGCCTTGTAAATATTATATTCTGGCCTCAGTTCTGACACATCCAGCAGGTCGGTCTTCACATTCTCTAGATTTTCTTCCCCAGAACACTGTGCCCCTCCAGCCTCCACCCAACCAACTGGAGGTGGTGAAAACTTACAGTTAAACGTGTGTTCCCAAAACTGTTTCACCTGAAATGATTAAAACAAAAACATACGTTAGTGAAAATAAATACCACCATGTTTTTGCTGCAACTCACCATGTTATTTTCATTGCCTTGCTGTTCAGGATGAACTCTCCATAGGAAGTCACTGAGTCCTGGTATTTCTCCTCGACGGATGGCGATACCCAAGGTTCCTGCCAGAAAGGGCATGAAGGCTGAGGTCTGGAGTCCATCAACTAAAGTCCAAGCTTCACTGGCAATCCACTGCAGGCCTGTGACGTTCTGCTTCACCACCTGGCATCACATATTCTTGGTGTTTTAATGATTTTTGTGTAACTTATACCAGTTACTTTATGTACTCAGAAACATGTGTACCGAACTCAGTGATCAAATCAGTGAACAATTACATCCAAGATGCTTTACTAAAATATTTACTGCTTTTATGTATGCATTAAAAAACACCTTACAATTTATAATATAATGGGAAAAAATTGACAAATGATTTAAAAAAAAAGGATCAACTAAAATGCTTTTTCACATATTTGACTTGCCAAAATGGAATAAAGAATTTTGAATTTTCAAGTGCAATCAAGTCCATTTGGTAAAAAAAAACAAAACTCTCTTTGATTTCTACTTTTGCATATTTTTTATTCCAACCTGCTCCAGGACTTGAATCATATGCATCTGATGTGCAAACGCCATCACAACACGTGCTGTGGATTTTCTCATCACATTTACAATCCTCTGATACTCGCTTGGATCGTTGCCCCAGGGCAAAATCTCTATGTAAGCCAGACAGCCTCCGCCTGCACGTGTCAAGTCAGTTTGAAAGGATCTGGAAACATGGAGGCCATAGTCATCATCACTGACCAGAAGACCTGCCCATGACCACCCAAAGTGTTGTAGGATGCGGATCATGGCACGCACCTGAGTGAAAATAGAGTGAAGGGACAAAAATGAGAGATTAGATGCAAATTTTCATGACCAAAATACAAACGTTGTTACAGAGAAAGAATATTTTTGTTTCATTAGCAATATTTATTTTCCTGTGAGTTTCTTTGGTTTTCGTGAGTCGTTTGTTAAATTTGTTCTACCTGGAAACCATCGCTTGGGATTGTTCTGAAGAAGGATGGAAATCGCTGACGATCACTCAGACATGAACATGTAGCAAAATAACTCACCTACGGGGGGGGGGGGGGGGCAAAAATTGTACACATGCTCAAATGCACCAAGTGAAAAGGACACAACGTGTGAAGGAGGGAAACTTACCATAGGCAGCTTGTATAAACCTAAAACATCTAAAGCAGCTATGGAAAACGTGGAAAAGGGATCGCCGACAATTCCCACAACTGGGGGAACCCCTGAGCAGTTGTCCTGAAGCAAAAACTGTTCCTCTTGACCACTGGACATTGACAGTGCAGCACTAAATCCGATTCCTAGAGTGGCACAGTTGTCATAAAGACTGTATCCCAGAGTGATATTGGGCAGCAAGTCGGGGTTGTTGTTGATCTCTTCAATTGCAAAAGCCATGGTCATGGCATGCCTGAACCCAAGTGTGTCAAAGCTAACAGTAAAACAAAGCAATAAAACAAGAATCTAGATATAAAGCATTAAAATAATATAACATCCGAGTGTTACTGGCTAATTGTAACAAACTTACCCCTGGCAACTGGGCTGTTGTGGCGCAGAGGTGAATGTGTGTTCAGGAAACACAGAATTGTAGTGGACCTCGAACAGCCCTCCCAGAACTACATCCCCCGGCTTGTGCAGACCATTTAAATTAAACGTTCTCAGTAATTTACAAGATGACGAAAAGAAGGAAGACTCAGAAAAGAAAAGAGAGGAATAAATCATAATCTGATAGATATTTATAAGCAAACAATTGACAAAGAAAGCCCCCATTTCTTACCTTCTACTCACAAGTCCACAAATAAAAACCTAATTTATACACAAGGTTATGTTGTCTTGGTTGGACCTTTTTCATCATTCACTCCCATCAGGACCCAGATGCAAACCCTTGGGGATGATGCTAAATGAAAAATAATATAGCTCAATTATTGAAGCTTTTAAACAGTGTCATAATTATTTATTTAGAATATTTGATTCTTTGCAGCTTCTGTTCAGTCAAAAGTCAGTTACCATGCTATAGATTATGTAAAATTTAAGTAAATGATTGTTTGAATGCTTTAATATAGGGTGTTGCAAAGAGGTCTTTATTCCACCTGTCCCGGGATCCATTGATTTCCGTCTTTCACATTCATTTTCTCTTTTCTTGTATTTTATTCACATATTTTATTAATTTTTCTTCAAATTGAACCATATTTGTACTCAATTTTTGAAGATTTTTTTGTATTTTGAATTTCTTGTTCTTTTGAAGCACCTCGTGATTTTTATCTTGAAGCTCTTGGCGGGTGCAGACGCTTTTTTCCTCCTCTCCTCCATATCTTATCTTATCCTTTGTCCGTCTCTGTGTGCTGGGTGCACGGCTGCTTCTGCATTTTCCCGGAAACTGGAAACTGAAATACGTTTAAATGGATCTTGGCTGGTCTCTCAACGCGATTGATAAAAATTTTTTCAACGATGAGAACGGGAGAAGGGGCTCCCGGACGCCCTGCCGGTACAGACCCAGCTGGACACATCATGGACTCCTGGAAACAGTGGAACTTGATTTGTTTATCTCAGCTGTCGGTGGAGAACTCTGAAGACGTGCGGATATTCGTGGTGTTGGTGTCAGGTTTCCTGCTCATTGGCCTTGGAGGCTACCTGGCTTACTGGAAAATTTACGAGCTGTCGAGGAATATTGTTCTGATCTCGGAGCTCAGAGATGGTTTGCACTGCGCTATGAATTCAGACTCAAATAATTGTCAAGATGAATCGTAAGCTTGGAACTTTGGCGGATATTCATTCTTTGGCACAAAAGATGGATGCCATCAAGGAGAGAGTGGACGAATCAGCATGGATTGGGATAGATTAACGTCCATGATTGGGATTCTGAGAGGTTGAGGACCAACAAACTGTAAAACATAGAGGAAATCATCTCTGTCTGGCCCCAAAACAATTTCTAATCGGAATCTGGTGTCTTTGAGCCTGCAAGGCTCCAACGACCCCCCCCCCCCCCCAGAAGATATGTGGAATGTGCTGTCGCTATGGCAACTCAACTCTGTCTCCTTTCCCAGCCTGGGCGGGACTGCGGGAAGGCCGCTGAAGCGTCCAGGGTCACTGCAACCCTCCAACCCTCAATGCTCCCACCCCTATCCACACTGAGGTGACATGTGCTACTTCATCGTGGCTCCAGGATCTGAAGTTGGGATAGTCCCAACCCACCACCCCACCTAGTGGACACTTGTGTTGGCTGAAGTATTTTGCATATCTGTCTGTTTGAGGTGTTTTATTGCAGAGCAAAGCTGCCCTCCTGGTGGGAGGGTAACTTTGAAGTGCCTTTTTTCCCTCCACCTGAACCAATCCTCATGTAACCCCTCTTATCTCTATAAAGGTAGCGCGACTCAGGGTTGTAAATGACCACAGTCACCAATTCTTGTCATGTGTCTTGTCCATGTATGTCTGATCACTGAATTGTGTGTACTGAAATTAATTTCCCTCTGGGATTAATAAAGTATCTTTGATTTGGATTGATTTGATAAAAGATAATTTTCTTTTTTGTTTGTTTCTTTTTAGTTGTCATAATTTTCTGATACAGTTAAAATGTAAATATTAAATGAATAGGTACATTTTTCCATTTGTACTTTCACAGATATTCAGATTTTAGTAATTTTTTTGTTCAACTTTTTGAATTGCTGTTGAGTTTACCAATTTTTACATTTTGGTCATTTAAATTGGCAGCTTTGTATTAGTTGCTTTATTTATGTGTTTATTGGTGGGGTGGGTGGTATGTTTACATAATGGTCACCAAAATGGACAGGTGTGTCACTCCATACGTTTCTTATAGGTGTCCTCATGGAATGACAGTAGAATTTTATGTCATGGCATGTGTGGAAATTTAGCATCAAACCAATAATAAACCAATATAACAGTTTAATAATTTTATATTATTAATTATAAGAATAGTTATAAAAAAACAGTTTTAATTTACTTTTCAAATATGTTTTTCAAAGGAGGAAAATCTTGATATTGTCATAATTGATACAATATACTATAGAGTTCTGTGTCAAGATTAAACCTGGCTTTAATTTAAGGCTTCAAAATTAAATGCTTCAATAATACCAGAGAGAAATTAAATGTTTTAATTCATAATCTCTGAAGCAATAATAGAAATACAATAGTTGTATCAATAATGATGTCATATGTTCTTCACCGAGTGGTTAAATATGCTGATGGCTGTGAGCAGGCAGGATCTCCTGTAGCAGTTAGTGTTACGGCAGGTCTGAAGAAGCCGCTGACTGAAGATGCTCTGTTGCTTGACAGTGTCCTAAAGACGAAGCTCAATGTTGTCCATCATTTTCCCACAGTAGTCCTCAGAAAAGAAGCAGCCTTTTTATCAGGTTGTTGAGTCTTTTTAGGTCCCTGATTGTGATGCTGTTGCCCCGATAGGAGATAGCTGATGAGGTTGTACTCTGTTAGATGGCAATGCCTAAGTAACTCAAGTAAGAATATGATATCCAGGGGAGAAAAATGTGCATTACATTTATCAGTAAAAAAAAAAAAAAGCTGTTTAACAGAAACGGTTGAAAGGGTGTGACCCTACCTCACACTGCTAGTGAGAGGCACAAGCTCCCTGTGACTCAGACTAGCGATAAGTCGGCAAACAAACCAACTAAAAGGGTCTGTGAAGCATAGCAACGGAGGAATACAAATTATTACATTTAACTGATTTCCTTCTGTCAATGGAATTATTGTTACTTTGTGCCCCGGGCCATTATGGCTTTCTTTGTGTTTTTTTCTGGTCTCATCAATATTACATAACATTTAGGCCCAAACAGAGACATCAAAAGTCCAAAACTGGAAGCCAGGATGGCAAACACCTCCACTGCATCTGCATATTTACCAGGTGAGCTGATGTAAGCAGGAACAAAGGCCACCCACACGGCACAGAAGATCAGCATGCTGAAAGTGATGAGTTTGGCCTCGTTGAAGTTGTCTGGAAGATTTCTTGCTAAAAATGCTAAAATAAAGCTGATCACAGCTAGCATGCCGATGTAGCCAAGTAAAACACTGAAACCAATAATGGAACCAACTAAACACTCATAAACTATTATATCATTGTGGTACTGGATATTCTTATGAGGTACTGGTGAGGCCATCACTATCCAAACAGAACAAACTGCAGCTTGAATGCAAGTAAGGGCAAAAACTGTTCTTTTCTGTTGCGCAGCACCAAACCACTTGAGATTTGCGCCACCTCCTGGCTTGGAAGCCTTGAACACAGCCAGAACCACCATGGTTTTAACCAGGATGCATGAAACACAAAGAACAAAGCTGATCCCAAAGGCTACATGTCTCAGCTGGCATGTCCACAGTCTGGGTTGTCCAATGAACAGCAGCGAACACAGGAAACATAACTTCAGTGAAAATAAGAGGAGGAAACTCAGTTCTGAATTGTTGGCTTTCACCATGGGTGTTTGACGATGACAGGTGAAGATCGCTAAAACAACGGCGCAGCTAATTGTGCCGAGCACTGACGCTGTTGTCAAGCAAACACCCAGAGGCTCTTGATAGGAGAGGAACTCTGTTTTCTTGGGAACACACAGGTCACGCAGGGGACTAGACCAGAAGTCTTCTGGACAGCTGATGCACTCAGCAGAGCCTAAGAAATCAAAAGAAAACATATTTTAATTTATTTGGCTTTTTAAAATGTACTTTATCCTGTTGGTGTTCTTTGTCAGTTCTACCTAACAGTAAGGTGAAAAGGGTCCATAGAATATAGTTGTGTTTCCACTGGAACTTCAGTTTTTTTTTACCGTAACTTCCTGACATGCGCATGCTTCAACTTGAACGGGCCAGCTGTTTCCTGCGCCATTTTCAGGAACTTTCTGCTACCTGATCAGGGGTAGGTACTCGGGATGACCCGGTGGAGTTGCTGAGTCGAACGTTAGTTTAACTCGCGCTGATAGGTTGTACCTCAGTAGGAAATGACCTCCGCAGACGCTGTTCAACATAACCGACAGTAGTAAAATTAGAAGAGTTGCTGGTGAAGCAGAATAGATGCAAAAGAAGGTAAGCACCAACCGCGCTGTTTTAAATTAGCCTTACTAATCTCCCAACACCGGAAAACACGGCAGGATTTCCCCACAACAACGTAATTTGCAGGGCTTTGTGGTTTCACAAAGTGCCGTAAAAAAACAGAGCTTCCTCTGGTCATTGAACGCCACATTTTACATCACGCAGCTGCTCTCATCCTCTGAATACATTAAACATTGCTGGACTTTGAATAAAACTTTTAAAGTTATTGTGGACGCTTTTTGGCGCAGATCAGTGACATCTCTCACTGCTGGTGCAGTCGCGGTAGGCTGGCGTCTGTTCAAAGTCCTGAAAGGGCGGAGAGTACCGGGACATTGTGACTCCTGCTCAATTTCCCCCTCCTAGAATTTACCCTGAAGTTCCTGCAATGGAAACACGGCTCATGTCGTTCGCAGGTGTAGCTATTCCAATGATCTTTTAATTTGCATTTTTAAGAGTCATCAGGCTACGCGATGCAAATAAACCAAGACCACTTTATTTCATTCTATAATTAGTGTTTTTGTATCACTCCTCCAACAATATCTTGTACGTAAACCTGACAGCGAATCATGGCACAAACCTGTTGCATTGCTGAACTTTCCCTCAGAACATGGAATACAATCAAAGCAGCAGACAGGCTGTCCCTTCTGTCTAGCCATCCGAGTCCCTGGAGGACAATTCGTGCTGCACACCGACTCAGGAGGCTGTGGATGAAGCAATAATGTATACATTCTTATGATCAGTCCTTCATTTCACACAGAATACAACGTCCGACAGAGACGAATAAATGCAACCTGATTGTCGTTAAAGTTCCAGAATATTTTGTCCTCATCAAGTTTTAGTTCTTCATCATTGAAGGTTGACTTTTTAACAATTCCCACTTTTTGAACTTTGACACCTCCATCAGGAAGCCACTGCCAGTTCAGAATATCATATGTTGGTAATGCGTCACCGTTTTGGTCAAATGACACTTGATCACCAAATGGAACTGAGAAGTTGACTTTTTCTAAATAATGCATAAGCTGCAAATAAAAAGCATCAAATTCAACATTTAATATTTTGTATAATTTCGATTTTATTCGTTCTATGCTCAGCCTTTCATTCCCTTTTCTACTTTTTTCTTTTGGTTCCTTTCTTTTGCTGCTGTGACATAATGTTTTCCCTCAGTGGGACAATAAAGATATTTTATCTTCTCTTCTATTTTATTCCATTCTGTAAAATCTCAGGATGTAAACATGTAAATTGTTCTAAACAGATGCCACACCTGCCAAGGCTCCATCGTTTGCAGAAAAGCACAGCTGTTGTCGGTGAAAGGTCCCCGCCCTGGCTCACACTTCAACATATCATCGAGGGCATACGCCAGAGCATACACAGCCTTGTAAATATTGTACTCAGGCCGGAGGTTAGAAACATCCAAAAACTCCGTCTCCACACTCTGTAGGTCTTCTTCACCAGTGCAAAAGGCCCCCCCAGCTTCCACCCAACTTGTTGTAGGAGAGAATCTGCACTGAAATGTATGTTCCCAAAACTGCCTAATCTGAAAAAAAAGACAAAAACTAAAAAATACAGAATCTGTCTGAACAAAAACCACAATATTTTCAAAAGTGAAAACAGTTTGAAAGTCAATGTATCTAAATTTACCATGCTGTTTTCATTGTGATAGTTATCACCAGGACGCGTTTTTTGGAGAAAATGTTGAAGTCCCGGTATTTCTCCTCGACTAATTGCAATGCCAAGCGTGCCACCCAAATATGGCATGAGACGAGGCGTTTGGAGAACCACTGCAGTGGTCCAGGCTTCACTTGCCAACCACTGAAGGCCTGTCGCATTCTGTTTTAACACCTAAATATTACATTTGATCAAAAACAGACATGTTTAGTTAGAATATTGCTCTGAAAAAAGAATAAACATAACTTTACCCCCCGGATATCCTGGTAGATACCTCCTCCATCAGCTGAATCATGTGAATCTGGTGCGCAAATACAATTATTACACGAGCTACAGATTTTTTAATCACTTCCACAATTCTTCTGAGTTCAGTTGGGTTTTCGCCCCAGGGCAAAACCTCCAAGTACGCAAGACAACCTAATCCAGACTGAGTCAGCTCAGACTGAAACGACTGGGCGACGTGAAGCCCATAGTCATCATCACTGACCAACAATCCAACCCACGTCCAGTCAAAGTGTTTCAAGATCTGAATCATGGCATGCACCTATGTGGAGACAGAGATACGTGGTCATCCATCACTGCAATGCCTCTTGGGCTGGAGTGACTTCATGCTGATTTTCTGACTTTTTTATTTATTTTTTTAATCTCACCTGAAAAGCATCGTTTGGGATTGTTCTAAAGAACGATGGAAACCTGCGGCGATCGCTTAGGCAGGAACATGTGGCAAAGTAACTCACCTGTAAAAAACAACAACAAGCTTTTAGAGTATTGTTTTGTTTTTCGTCATCTTAAACTGGGAGAATAAAACTCACGATGGGTAATCTGAATAAACCCAATACATCAGAGGTGGCTATAGAAAATGTGGAGAAGGAATCACCAACAATCCCCAGGACTGGAGGACTCCCGAAGCATCCTGTCTGTGGCACAAACTGTTCCTCTTGACCACTGGCTAGTGATATAGCAGCGCTGAACCCAATTACTAATGTAGCACAGTTATCATATAAACTGTATCCCAGAGTCACATCAGGAAGCAGATTTGGGTTCTCATTGATCTCTTCAATAGCAAACGCCATGGTCAAGGCGTGCCTAAACCCTGGAGGGTCAAAGCTTGAACATAAAAAAGGTACAAATAACACAAAAAGGAGCCAACATGTACATTTATTCAGACGTGTCATCATACAAGACCACTCACCCTTGACAGACGTGCTTATTTGGTTCTGAGGTAAACGTCAGCTCGGGGAAAACAGAGGTGTAGTGGACTTCAAACAGTCCTCCTAGAATCACATCACCGGACCTGTGTAACCCGTTAAGATGAAACGGTCTGATCAGTTTGCACGGTGAGAAAACAGAAGAGAAGGAAAACTCGGCGAGACAATAAACAAAAATCCAGATGTAAAAAGAAACCAGCGTCTGGTGAGATGCCTCCATAACTAAACGTCCTCCTTCCACAATTACACTAAATGCTCATCAGTGGTCATTTTAAATATGTTGCTCTCGCCTTTAATGGGCTTCGTCGCAGCTGGGGGAGGGAATAGTCGTGTGGGTAAGTGGCATACGATGGCTTAGAAACGGAGATAAGTGGTTTATGATAATTTTGTAGCAGCAGTAGCTCAGGTGGTAGAGTGGGTTGCCTCATGATCGGAGGGTCATGGGTTCGATTCCAGCTCCCGCCAGGGGTATCCTGCTGCTGTGTCCTTGGGCAAGACACTTCACCCAACTCGCCTGTGTTAGTGGTGGTCAGAGGGGCCGACGGCGCCAAATGGCAGCCTCGCCTCTGTCAGACCTCCCCAGGGCGGCTGTGGCTACAAGTAGCTTACCATCACTAGCAGTGTGTGAACGTGAGAGTGTGTGAAAGCGTCTTTGCGTGTCTAGAAAAGCGCTATATAAGTTCTATCAATTATTATTATTATTATTATTATTATTATTATTATTATTGTATATCTGCATATGCATAACAATAATCACAGTTGTTCTTGAACAAATATGAAATGTCTGATTGAGCTGGTTAGTTTCAACGCTTAGTCACTTAACTCTTCTGTTTTAAGGGAGCACATTTATTCAACTGGTGTTTGCTCCTTTTATGTAAATATTATTCTATTAAAAATGAATTTTGTTAAAGGTTGTCGGAGATTTACTAAAGAAAGTGGAGGCCGTCAGCCTTAACACCAAAGTCTGTTTTATTGGGTGTTTCGATGTTAATCATCGTGATGAGGAGGAGGAATTCGAATCTTCGTGAACCTCTAGCAGCATAACTAATGGCACACGACATCCTTCACTGTCACAGCTTGACCTCGGGTAGAGGTCAGGAGTTGCTTTATTCAGTTCACTTCAGAACATCTCTGAAGGCTACATTTCCTAAGGACGACTTCTCTGGTTCCAGAACATAAGCAAACGTCTGGAAGTGTAACCTGGAAGTTGAATGATTACCAGGACAAGGGTTCCCTGAGCCCATGTAAAAAAATAAATAAAAGGACATTGTTCTTGTTGTTATATTTTTCCAGTTGTTGACTTTTGTTCATTAACTTAGTTTCTACACTGCTGCTGCTTGCTCAAATATTCATTGTTCTAATTTATAAAGTCGTTTTTGATCCATAAAAATGTCACAATTGCATGGAAGCAAGTCATCCAGACTTTCAGCCTCACTTTCTGAGAGGACATGCTTGAAATGTAATATTATCTCCAATCCACTTCATGTCATTTTAACACCCCTTAATCCGAACGCATGCCCTTCTAATTTCCTTCTAATCAGGTTCCAAGCCTTTGTAAAGCCTGTTTTTAGCACTGAACTCCAGACTCTGGTCACCTGATATCAGATTCTCTCTCCGCTGTGGACTCATCTACAAGTAACACTCTGTGCTCAGCTTGCTCTTGTTGCAACGTAACGCAAGGAAACAAAATCATGTCAGTTCAGCAAAAACCCGGGTATCCAATTTTGAACAATCAATTTAAAAGTCTATGGTCCCAGGTAATAGTTCAGCTGATATAAAGTCATATCTGTAACGTCCTCCAGTTTCTGGATTACCCTACACTGTCCACTAGATGGCGGTATTACAATAGGGTTGAACATTTATGTCTGTGAGTTCTCATTTGTAATTTGAAACTGGAATTTTTGAAAATTGTTACGTTTACTTCATGTGGTGACCAGGAAAAGTTAAACCAGTGTGGTGATGTTACAGGTAACAGAAGAAAAGAGACAGAATCATGTCATGGAAATTGGTGATACGGCATAACACAAATATGACAAAATCTCCGTCAGTATGTTTCACACACTGAGGTTGTTTGGAAAGCTATATAAACCTATGAACACACAACAAGAACAGACTTGAGGGGATGGACATCTCAGTTCTTCTTGTCGGCCTGAGACTGGCTCTTGGCTTGTTTGATGGTAACCCAGGCGTTGCTGTGGGTGGGTCTGTGTGTGGTCTTCAAAAACGGGCCGGGCTTACAGAAGCAGCGACTGACGTGGTCACAACTGGGTCTTTGCCTTTGAAATGCAACCTTGAGGGTACCATTCGTCTACCTGCTTTTTCAATGGATGGAGACTTTATTATTGGGGGTGCATTTTCCATCAATTACAAAGAGAACACCAAGATTTACAATTACACCTCTATGCCTCAGCCTCCCAGCTGCACGAGGAGGTTAGTGTGGAGCAGAAGTGAAAACACAAAGGAAATAATATAATGACTAAATTAAAGTATTTATATGTATAATCAAAAGGTAAAAGTGGATTCCAAGGTATTTTTCTGCTTTAAAAAAGATAAATGTGGATTTTTACATGAGAAATGTCAGGATAATACAGGTTAAATTAATTTATTTCTTCACTGCAAGTTTAAGTGATTATTATGAACATATAGATGATTACATTAGGTCAGCATTTATTCAATGGAAAACATGTTTAAGAGAAGTTTGGCAACATGTTTGTACATGAGATGTGGAACGGTTTTTACCCTACACCTATTGATTTGCAGCTCTTTTTGCTTACAAATTAATATTTTAGTACAAATGAGGGTGACAATATGTTATGAATCCTTCATACATTGTAAATATATGTGTGTGTACAGCATTAACAGTCGTGAACTGCAATTCTCGCGCGCAATGGTTTTTGCCATCGAGGAGATAAACAGCAACACAGAGCTGCTGCCAGGCATCAAACTCGGATATCAGATCTTTGACACGTGCGCCTCTGTGCCGGTGGCTGTGCATGTGATGTTCCAACTAGCAAACGGCCGGGACCCGGTGTTTTACAAAGGCAGCAATTGTTCACAATCGGGTGTGGTGATGGCTGTTGTCGGGGAGTCTGGATCAACACCATCCATCAGCATGTCGCGCATCATCGGGTCCTTCGACGTCCCTCTGGTGAGTAGACTGAATCAGTTACAAGCAGCAAAGTCAAGAACTGAAATGGTGTGTTTACCTTAAAAGTTTAATTTTTCTTTAAGGTCAGCCACTTTGCCACTTGTGCCTGTCTGTCAGATAAGCAGCAGTTCCCAACTTTCTTCAGAACAATTCCCAGTGACCAGTTCCAGGCTGATGCACTGGCCAAGCTGGTGAAACACTTTGGCTGGACTTGGATAGGAGCTGTCCGCTCTGACTCAGATTATGGGAATAACGGCATGGCGTCTTTTCTTGACGCAGCACAGAGAGAGGGAATCTGTGTGGAGTACTCCGTATCCTTTTATCGAACGGACACTCGCAGCAAGATCCAGAGAGTAGCCGATGTTATTCGCAGGTTTCTATATCAGTAATTTTGAATTATTTCTTTACGTTAATCTACTAAACGCTGAAAAAAATATTCTTTTAAATTATTAATTAAAACTGAACTGTAAAAAAAAATGGTTTGTGTCATTCAAAACTTCTGTTTAGGTCAACTGCAACAGCCATTGTAGCATTTGTAGCATCTGGAGACATGAAGTTTCTGTTAGAGGAGCTGGCCCGGGACCCCCCACCGCCTCGTCAGTGGATAGGAAGTGAGTCTTGGGTGACTGAACCAGGCTATTTAGGCTACAGTTTCTGTGCAGGAGCCATTGGAGTTGGAATTCAACAATCTGTCATCCCAGGTCTGAGAGAATTCCTACTGGATCTTTCTCCCAGTAAAGTAGCCTCCTCCTCAGTGCTGACTGAGTTCTGGGAGGATGCATTCAACTGCACGCTGACTAAAAGTGAGGATATCAAATAAATTAAACAGAAAGTACAATATGTATTTATTCACCTATGTTTAACACCAGATGTGCTTTTATTTGATTAAATATCATGTTTTTTGAATTTTTTACTTTAAAGGTTATGAATTTTTTTTAAAAATTCTGTCTTGTAGGTGTTGAATCATCAAAAAAATTGTGTGAAGGAAATGAAGATATAAAGACACTCAAAATCCCGTACACGGAAACGTCTAAATTTAGAGTCACTAACATGGTGTACAAGGCTGTGTATGCCATAGCTCATGCCATTCACAATGCAGCATGTCAAAAAACTAATGTCACCACTCAGTGTAAGACAGAAACCAGCCTAAAGTTGGAGCAGGTTAGTGGAAAAGCTACACATATAAAATGTTTTTATTTACATTGTCAACCTTCAGATAACTGCATTATTATTAGTAACCAATATTTCTTTTTTCCCTATTTTTTAAAATCTTTTCAGGTTGTTGCAAAACTTAGAGAAGTCAACATTTCCCAAAATAATTATTCTGTTTCATTTGATGCTAACGGAGATCCTGTAGCTTTTTATGAGCTGGTCAACTGGCAGAAGAGTGAGAGTGGAGTTATTGAGCTGGTAACAGTAGGGTACTATGATGCATCACTGCCTAAAGGACAGGAGTTTCACATCAACAGGAGAATAACCTGGATGGGGGGTGGAAAAGAAGTTAGGAGCCTCTTGAGAATGATTCAACCTATGAAACATATATGATGGGTTACAACTACTGCCGTGAAAAACACTGATATGTATCTTTCCAACAGGTCCCAGTATCAGTGTGCTCTGACAGTTGTCCTCCAGGAACTCTAAAAGTCCTGCAGAAAGGAAAACCCATCTGCTGCTATGATTGTATACCATGTCCTGAAGGAGAGATTAGTAACACAACAGGTGAGACCAAATGTATTCACAGATTTGAGCATATTTGAGCTCTAATTTCATTTTTTTTAATAGATTCCCTCGATTGCGTCCCGTGTCCCACTGACTTTTGGCCTAACATTGAAAGAGACGCTTGCTTCCCCAAACCTGTGGAGTTTCTTTCCTATGATGAAGTCCTGGCAATCATCCTGGCTGCATTCTCTGTTAGTGGGGCCTGTCTGGCCATCATAACAGCAGCTATTTTCTTTCATCACAGAACAACTCCAATTGTCAGAGCCAACAACTCTGAGCTGAGCTTCCTGCTGCTCTTCTCTCTGACTCTGTGTTTCTTATGTTCATTAACTTTCATCGGAGCTCCCTCTGATTGGTCCTGCATGCTGCGACACACAGCGTTTGGCATCACCTTTGTTCTCTGTATCTCCTGTGTTCTTGGCAAAACTGTAGTGGTTTTAATGGCCTTTAAAGCTACACTTCCAGGTAGTAATGTCATGAAATGGTTTGGGCCTCCACAGCAAAGAATGACTGTGGTGTTTTTCACATTTATTCAAATTATAATCTGTACTGTGTGGTTGTTACTCAGCCCTCCATTCCCAATGAAGAATCTGAGCACATACAAGGAGAAGATCATCCTGGAATGTGCATTAGGTTCTGCTGTTGGGTTCTGGGCTGTGCTCGGGTACATTGGCCTGCTGGCTGTTTTCTGCTTTGTGTTAGCTGTTCTAGCTCGGAAACTACCTGATAATTTTAATGAAGCCAAGCTGATAACCTTCAGCATGCTGATATTCTGTGCAGTGTGGCTCACCTTCATCCCAGCATATGTCAGCTCTCCTGGAAAATTTACTGTAGCTGTGGAGATATTTGCTATTCTGGCCTCCAGTTTTGGACTGATTCTGTGTATATTTGCTCCAAAGTGTTTCATCATCTTATTTCAACCTGAGAAGAACTCTAAGAAATATGTAATGAACAAAAAGTAAAAGTAACATAAGTTTCAAAATTAGATGAACCTGCCGTAGACCATACTATTATCATTAATTGATTAACGTTCTGTAACACCCCAAATGTTAACAATAAAAAAATATTTTTAGGAAACATTTCATACATGTTATTCAAAATGCATTAAACCAGTAATGTTTTAATCTTCTCATGCTTTATTTGATAAATTATTAAAGGGACACAGAAAATAAAAGTTTTTCAAAAAACTAAATTGTGTACTTCTGATTTCTTAAATCCCCAAACACTAATACCAGCCTGATTGTGAAATGACATGATGAAAAAGGAAACGCTAAATTGATTGGGCAGTAGATCTCCAGGTGTTCCACAGGGATGCAGATGCAAAATTAACCTTAAAATGTAAAAATTGAGCTAAATCGTAAAGCAAACCTCTTGTTTAGCAGTAGATCCATTCTCACAATAATCACTGAAACAAGATTACAAATAAGCAGTGGCAGAAGAAGAAACCACAGGCACTTTTGAGGATTCGTTGATGGAGACAAAATCAGCAAATAGAATGACTCACTTTTACTACTATGTGTAAATAAATAAGAATTAATTTTCCTTGCACTTTGCATTTTGGTGGTAGGGGTGTAAATGGTTACAACTTTATAATTTTATCAGGTTTTTGAGCCTAATCAGATGTGCGTGTAGTAAAGTGAACAGACAATTCTGACATTATGATCCCACAATGTGAAAATTTAAAAAGAGACAGATTGTCTTCATGGAATGATTAAAGGTGAAGGCCCATCAAAGTCATCCAGGTCAGTGTTACCTCCCAGCTGGCCAGGAGAACAAAAGAGAGTAGCCTGTTACATCCCCTCTGGCATCTAGGGGTGGTGAAGGGAGAACACAGAGACAAACAAAATAATGTAAAACAAAATGGATGAATACAGAGGGATGGTGTCTGGTTGTGATAGTAGGGAATGAATGGAAGGAGGTTAACGAATGGCAGTTCAAAAAGGTTTAGTAACAAAGGTTGGATCAAGGGTATATGAGTAAATTAAATAAACTCCCTCTGCTAAAACAGGGAGCAAGCGAACATAATAATCAACTTAAAGTGACTCTCTCTGGATTAACCAGAGAGAGGAGACCACAAAGGGAAACACTTATTCTAAACCAAACCAACCACAAAAGAACTAAAAGAATAAACCTAATCATTTATCAAAACCAAAAGACCCACAATTATCAAAACTAGAACTCTCCACAACTAAAAATCCTCCAAGGCAAAACACAAAGAAAAACTAAACTGAGGATTTGGAGATTCACAAAACGGGTTGCAAAATGCACAATTTAACCTTAGTTTAACTGGGGCACTAAACATTTAATCATAAACCCCAGTATCGGAGATCACAGTCCGATACTAGAAACGGGGTCTCTAATGGGCCATTCCCATCTGTACCGGGTAGCCCCCGTCGGCCCCAGCCTGGCCCGGTTGATTCCACACATCCTTGCCTTAAGCACATGTGGGCTGATTCTACCCACCAATCAGAGGCTTGCTCTAATCGAAGGTGTGAATTTGCTGTCAGCAGTGGGTGTGTTGGCCCTGGTTGGCCTGAAGCAGACCCCCTCGAGAAGAGGGCTGAGAATGAGCCTTGGTTGGCCCGGAAAAATACCAGGCCACCCCGATATGTAAACAACCTACGCTACCCGGCCCGGGCCGACCCGGTACAGATGGGAATGGCCCATTAAGCCCCATTCCCATCTGTACCGGGTCGGCCCGGGCCGGGTAGCCCCAGTCGGCCCCAGTCTGGCCCGGTTGTTTCCACACATCCTTGTCTTAAGCCCATGTGGGCTGATTCTACCCACCAATCAGAGGCTTGCTCTAATGGAAGGTGTAAATGGGCTGACTCTACCCACCAATCAGAGGCTTGCTCTAATGGAAGGTGTGAATTTCTTGTCAGCAGTGGGTGTGTTGGCCCTGGTCGGCCTGAAGCAGTACCCCTCGGGAAGAGGGCCGAGAATGAGCCTTGGTTGGCCCGGGAAAATTCCAGGCCACCCAGATATGTAAACAACCTACGCTACCCGGCCCGGGCCGACCCGGTACAGGTGGGAATGGGGCTATAGAGATCACAGGCAGCACCAAAGCCGTGTCTCCTCTGTCACTGTGTCTCCTAGAATAGTAGAGTGGGGAGGCTTAAAAGGCTTCAGGAGCAGCTGATTGTTCATTTGTTGCAGCTGCTCCACATCACTCTGCTGGGCTCTGGTGCTGGATGGCAGGACTGCAGGAACTGAGGCCTGCAGCAGGAGGTCACCGGGTGGAGAGCAGGGCGCAGAAACCTCAGGGTTTGTAACATAACCCAAAAAAGGTTGTGCTAGAAAATAGTTTCACATAATAAAAATATTTATTAAAATAACATTTGTTTAAGCAAGAAGATACACTGCAACATAACACATAAGAATACTCCCTTTTCTATATTTAAGTAACCCAGAAATAGCCCACTGAGAATGACACCAAGTCATCTAAGTAACTAAACATAAAACACTGGATTAAAAGCTCACAGTGAATTACTTACAAACAAAACAGGGATAATCTCACTAAAAGTGCTCTTCTTATTTGAAACAAGGGAGAATGCACAAATTAAGACAAGATAAAAATCCGAAGCTTAAAGATTTTGACAAGACACTGAGTCAAACACAAAAGAGAAAAGATTTTAACAAACTGGTAATTAACTCAACAAATCATCTGTATGACCAAACAAAGAATAAACTCAAACTAACCAGATTCTGAAGAGTTTTCTTTCAAACAAGTTCTAAAAACACACAAGATTACAAAACAAGGTATTTTCAGAACATACAAAGCCACAAACAGGGGACTAACAGCACAAATCTGTGACTCCTGAATGACTTAAAGGTTAAGACTGTCCAAATGCTGGTTAATTTCAGCAACGTGCCTCTCTCCAAGGTACTGAACTGGAAAAGCAGGAAAACAGAGTTGGAGCAGAAGGGTAACAGCTGTCCAAGGTGCTGATCTCAGATGAAATTACAGGGGGCATAACACTCAGCATTGTGAAATTACACTAAAAAACTAGCATTGCTGCACTGGTCATCAGCGTGCCTCTCTCCACGGTGCTGAATTTGTGAACTAGGAAAATAGATTGCACAGAAGAAGAAGAAGAAAACACTATTTTATATAGCACCTCTCAAGATAAAAATCACGAGGCGCTTCACAAAAATAAACCAAAAGATATTAAAGTATAAAAAGATTTTAAAAATGATTAAAAATATGTTTAAAAGGAGAAAAGAACAAAAAAAAAGGGATAGAGAAAATGAATAGGAAAGACGGAAATCAATGGATCCCGGGAAAGGCGGAATAAGAGCAGAGTAAGGAGAGGGTGGCGATGAAGGTCACGCAAAAGCCAGCTTAAACAGAGGAGTTCTCAGCTGCTTTTTGAAGGAGACCACTGAGTCCACTGACCTCAGGCTCAGGGGAAGACAGTTCCAGAGTCTGGGGGCCACAGTAGCAAATGATCTTGGATTTGGTCAGAAGCCGAGCACAGGCATTCTGAACCACCTGCAGACGGTTCAGGGAGGTTCTGCTCAGACACGTGAAAAGCAAGTTGCAGTAGTCCAAGTGTGAGGAGATGACGGTGTGGAGAACAGTCTCAAGTTCAGAGGAGGATACAGGAGAGTGACAGCTTGCGCGGGCGCTGTCTAGGATGCAGATCTCAAATGAAATTATGGGGGCTGTAAAAGTCAGCATTCTGACATTACACTAATAACCTAACACTGCTTTTACTTTGAAATATACTTTATTTTTGCAGAAACATCAGGCATGTCAGTCTAACTCAAACTAAAATTCATTGAAAGTGTTACAATTTATTACTGCTGGTGACATTTATGCTTGTAAATATTAGTGGATATTTTACTACAAAAATTTGAATCAAACTTTTATAAGTGAGGATACGTACTTGCAAGGCTCTTAATGCTCCATTTTTTTTCAAAAGTTTAGAAAATTACAAACACATTCATAATAAGCCAATAAAGACGCAGTGATTATTTTTTTGGGGAGGTCTTCTTTATGATGGACAACAGAAAAGGTTTATAAACCATTAGAAACACATGTTCGAATACAGATGCTGGAGGAATGGAGGTCAGAGGCTTCTTTATCAGAAAGAGATTGGCTGTGAGTTTGTTGAAGGGAATGTTGTTTGTGGTTTTGGGTTGGTCTCTAGACGGTCTGAAACAAACGGCTGATCCAATAGAGGACCTGAGTGCTGCTGGTGTCACTGTTGAAGATTCATCAACTAACTGTACCTTACAGGGGGCTCCTTGTGTGCCTGTATTCTCAATGGATGGTGACTTTATTGTTGGAGGCGTTTTCTCTTTACATTACAAAGTGAAAACAGTGATGCACAATTACACCACCAAACCTGAGCCTGCAACATGCACAAGGTTAGTAAGATGAGGAAATGAAATGAAATGGTTTGTTTTAACATTTGCAGTGATTGTAAAGAGTTACAAATTTGTGTAGTCAGTAAAAATCCTATTTACATGTAAAATTAGAGATTTTATCTTCTTGTACTTAATAATGTATTCAAATTTTGAATAATGATTTCGTTTAATTGTTTTATATACATTCTGTTTGTAAAGACACATTTTATTAAAGGTTGACACAAATTTACATTAAACCAAATCTGTGTATTGTCTCAACTGGAGGTCATTTGTGTACGCTTTTTGTTTCTCATCCCTGCATAATTGTGCTTTTTAAAGTAAACATCAACTCTCATCTGATTCTGTGCAGCTTTTTTGCTCGGGTTCTGCCTTCATCTCGCACAATGATCTTTGCAATCAAAGAGATAAACAACAGCACAGAGCTGCTGCCAGGCATCACTCTTGGCTATCGGATCTATGACTCTTGTGCTTCGGTGCCGCTGGCTATGCAGGTGGCGTTTCAACTATTAAACAGTCAGGACCCTGTGTTTAACAAAGACAGCAACTGCTCTCATGCTGGTAAAGTGCTGGCTGTTGTCGGAGAGTCTGGATCGACACTGTCCATCAGCATGTCACGCATTATTCGGTCCTTTCAAATTCCTCAAGCAAGTTTATCTGAAATTGTTTATTTAGAAGTCAAAAATAAATCTGCTCTGCATGTAGAAGAAAAAAAATTGTCCTTTTTATTTAGGTAAGCCCGTCTGCCACGTGTGCCTGCCTGTCAGATAAGCAGCAGTTCCCTAACTTTTTCAGAACAATTCCCAGTGACCAGTTCCAGGCCGACGCACTGGCCAAGCTGGTGAAACACTTCGGCTGGACTTGGATAGGAGCTGTCCGCTCAGACTCCGATTATGGAAATAACGGCATGAAGTCTTTTCTTGATGTGGCTCAGAATGAAGGAATCTGTGTGGAGTACTCTGAATCTTTTTATCGGACCGACCCACGCAGCAAGATCCAAAGAGTGGCTGATGTTATCCGCAGGTTTGAAAAAATAAAAATAAAAATTGGTAGAAATGTGTTCATTAAAAGTTATTTTTATTGTCTGAGAATATTTATCATATTTATTTTATTTTTGCACAGTTATTATGCAACATAAAGCATTAAATACATTTTAAATATGTACAGATCTGGGCTAAATAGAACATGTAAAAATGCTGAAACAAGCACACTTGTCTTTACAGGTCAACGGCAAAGGTTGTTGTGGCATTCATAGATTCTGCCGATATTAAGATTCTGTTGGAGGAACTGGCTCTGGACCCTCCACCACCTCGTCAGTGGATAGTTAGTGAGACCTGGATAACTGATCTGCAGTTGATGAGCTTCAGTTTCTGCACAGGAGCCATCGGAGTTTCAATTCAGCAGTCCGTTATCCCAGGTCTGAGAGAATTCCTGCTGGATCTTTCTCCATCTGAAATAGCTGCCTCCCCAGTGCTGACTGAGTTCTGGGAGGATGCATTCAACTGCAGCCTGAAAGACAGTGAGTGTCGTGTAAAAGTTGATTTTTTTTTATAATCCAATTTTTTATGATATCTATAATGGCATATGTTGCATTGCTTTTTTTTTATCCAGCAACAGTCATTTTATGACCTGAAATGAATTCTATTAACAACTAAAGAAATCCAGAATGCTTTAAACATTTATGTGAATGATCATAATTAGCTTTATTGTGATATATGAAAACTGTATTTACATGCTTTCAAAGACTTTTTTAAATTTGAAAAAAATATTCTACATTTATCTTTGCATGCATTTAGTGACTGATCCAATGAAAAGAGTGTGTGACGGAGCGGAAGACATAAAAAACCTCAAAAACCCATACATTGACACATCCCAGAGAGTTGTTAGCATGGTGTACAAGGCTGTGTATGCAATAGCTCATGCTATTCACAATGCAGTGTGTCAGGAAAGTAACTTTACCACTCAGTGTGACAAAAACATCAGACTGGACCCTGAACAGGTACGTAGAAATTAAATGTGACTTCTACAAACTTTGGTTTTCACTGTCCTTTATTTCAGGTTCTGTCAAAGTTGAGAAAAGTCAACTTTTCCCACAACGGTTATCCTGTGTCATTTGATGTAAATGGGGATCCTGTGGCCTTTTATGAGCTGGTCAACTGGCAGAAGAGGGAGAATGGAGTAATTGAGCCGGTAACAGTAGGGTACTATGATGCATCACTGCCAAAAGGCCAGGAGTTTCGTATCATTGGAAACCCAACCTGGGTAGAGAGCAGCACACAAGTAAAGATTCAAATAATGAAGGTTTCAATTTTGAGGGAAGCTTAGAACTAGTTTGCTTCAGCTGATGAGAGAAAAATGATCAAATGAAATACTGTATCTCCTCAACAGGTCCCAGTATCAGTGTGCTCTGAGAGTTGTCCCAGAGGAAGTCATAAAGTCCTGCAAAAAGGAAAACCCATCTGCTGCTATGATTGTATACCATGTCCTGAAGGAGAGATTAGTAACATGACAGGTAAAGTAAAATGTTTCTTTTATCCCTAAATTAACATGTACCAGTGCTAACAGGTCTGTCCTTTCAGATTCTCCAGACTGTTCCCCGTGTCCCAGTGAATTGTGGCCTAATGTACAAAGAGACGCTTGTTTCCCCAAACCTGTGGAGTTTCTTTCCTATGATGAAGTCCTGGCAATCATCCTGGCTGCATTCTCTGTTAGTGGGGCCTGTCTGGCCATCATAACAGCAGCTATTTTCTTTCATCACAGAACAACTCCAATTGTCAGAGCCAACAACTCTGAGCTGAGCTTCCTGCTGCTCTTCTCTCTGACTCTGTGTTTCTTATGTTCATTAACTTTCATCGGAGCTCCCTCTGATTGGTCCTGCATGCTGCGACACACAGCGTTTGGTATCACCTTTGTTCTCTGTATCTCCTGTGTTCTTGGGAAAACTGTAATGGTTTTAATGGCCTTTAAAGCTACACTTCCAGGTAGTAATGTCATGAAATGGTTTGGGCCTCCACAGCAAAGATTGACTGTTTTGTCTCTTACTTTCATTCAAGTTCTTATCTGTACTGTGTGGTTGTTACTCAGCCCTCCATTCCCAATGAAGAATCTGAGCACATACAAGGAGAAGATCATCCTGGAATGTGCATTAGGTTCTGCTGTTGGGTTCTGGGCTGTGCTCGGGTACATTGGCCTGCTGGCTGTTTTCTGCTTTGTGTTAGCTGTTCTAGCTCGGAAACTACCTGATAATTTTAATGAAGCCAAGCTGATAACCTTCAGCATGCTGATATTCTGTGCAGTGTGGCTCACCTTCATCCCAGCATATGTCAGCTCTCCTGGAAAATTTACAGTAGCTGTGGAGATATTTGCTATTCTGGCCTCCAGTTTTGGACTGATTCTGTGTATATTTGCTCCAAAGTGTTTCATCATCTTATTTCAACCAATAAAAAACTCTAAGAATTTTTTAATGAATAAAAACGTATTGTAAGATTTTACAGGGAATTGAGAGAAAACTCTTGAAAACAATGAACTCCAAACCATAGATTTTTAAAGGGGTAAGTTTGCCAGTCTAACATTTTAGATAAATAAAAATAGAATTAGAAATTAGAAAATGTAACAAATACACCCCATTTGACAGCAATTATTTGAATGCCACCATTGTCTGTTTATGTTACAAATGAATGGTTTTCTTTTTGAAGGAATATGTTCAACGTGCCAAGAAAAATAAAACAATAATATAAAGCTACGTTATGTTTTGTTTTTTTATAAATATTTTTTTACTTACTACTTCATCAGTAACACATTTAGGTAAAATATAAAATCACAAAGAAAGAAAAAGGAACATTTATCTCACCATTGAATACAGTGAAATATGGGAGACAAATAATGTCATAAAGCTTCATATTTTTATACCTATTGTTACTGGTCTGATTAAAGCAGCAGTTCGGAGTGTGATGTCATCAAAGAGAGGAGGATGGATTGGGCGGTAGGTGTGTGTGTGTGTGTGTGTGTGTGTGTGTGTGTGTGTGTGTGTGTGTGTGTGTGTGTGTGTGTGTGTGTGTGTGTGTGTGTGTGTGTGTGTGTGTGTGTGTGTGTGTGTGTGTGTGTGTGTGTGTGTTTGTTCAGTGTTTGGGGCATGTCCTAGGAGTGGGTTGATTGGGGGATCTGGTGATAGGGGGCTGCTCCTCCGGCATGTGGTGCTTTGGTGACCTGGGGGGGTTTCTATCTTGTGTGTGGGCTCTCTGAAATCTGAATCTGATACGGTTGTCATGGTCACTGCCTGATAGCTGTATCACTCCTGCATGGGTATGGGTGAGGGTCTGGTGGCTTGACTATAGGGTTGATCATCCCTGGAAGGGGGTCTGAGCTGGGCCTAGGGGGATTGGGTTCTTGCTTAATAACTGCTGGTGGCATGGGTGGGTGCATGCAGCGGTACTTGACCCTGGCTTGGGGGCCTTAAATTGCAGGAGAAGTTCTGCTTTCCTTCATGGGGCATATCAGGGAGGGGGAGCATCCAACTTACATAGTCTATAAATTGATCAAATGCAAGGGTTGGAGTTGACGTAATGGGGCTGGGGCTGAATGGATGGCCTCGGGCTCCATGGGGCTCTATGATGCTGCTGCTCTGGGCTCTTGACAGATAGGTTGGGGTCTCTCTGTCGAGTGAGTTTTGGGAGCAGGGGTGCCTACTGGGGCCAGTGGGGGAGCTGGCTCCATGGGAGGGATTAGGCCCCCCAGTCTATCCTCCCCCTTCTCAAACATTTCCATCCTCCTGCTCCATCACATCACCACACACACACATGTACACAGGGCATTGAGTTGTGGGTAAGTTCAGGGAGTGAAGGATGGTTCCCATCTTTGTAGTCCTGTGGCAGCCTGTGCCCCAATTTAATTTAAACACTTCCACCAACAATATCCAAAGCAACACACACTCAGGAGCTTGGGGGTAAGCACACTTGATGGCTCCTGGAGGGAGGGGGGATTTGTTCACTCAGCCTTGCCTCTGGTGCCGGTGCCCACTTCCAATTTGAAGCTTACACTGCAGCAGCCAAAGGGACCTTGGGATGTCTGTGGTTTGGATTTCCCTAATCTTCCTTGGGTCATTGAGGGCAGGTCTGTGGTCTCTCAGACTCACTATTTGGCACTCTTAGACTTTACATGCACAACGTATACCCAGGTGGTCACATAGCGTTCTCACAAGTATGGACTCCAGTGTTTTGACATTACTTTGGGCTGCGGTTGGCACTAAATGCACCATAAATAAATTATTACCGTGTAGAAGAGGTTTGGACCCAAAATGCTGGAACACAGGATGACACAGAAAGTGAAATGTTGTCAAAAATGAATAATCCTTTATGAAAGGAGTCACAGCAAAATCCAAAAGAGGCACAAGAAACAAAGTCACAGGAACCACACTCAAAAAGTTCATGAGCACAGGAGGCAACAACAAATGCTGACAAATGACAATGATCCAACAAACACAGAGAAACACTACAGGGTTTTGTACACAGAGAGGAGCAAACAGGGAAAACAGGGAGCAGGTGTAAACAATTAACAGAGAAGGGAGGAAACACAATAAACCAGAGAAGTAGACCAACTATACCTAAAACACAAAACTAAAGATGAAACTAGACGGGAAAACTTAACAGCTGACTAGAAACTGTACAACGGAAATAGCAGGGAATAATGCAATTAAGAGAAAATTTGTTGAAAAAAGTACAGATGACTACTGAACATAAAACTAAACAAAACACTATAAGACTGAAGACACCGGAGAACTTGTTTTCTAGCAAGAATTAAAAAGCAAAACTTAACAAATCCAGACATCAGTCGTCAGTTTGGGACTAAGTAACATTGACCTGGTAGATTGTCTGTGTGCCTTCTTTGTGGTTGTCATGAAATGGAATTGTAGTTAGGACCCAAAATGCAGGTGATAGCAGGCACAGGATGCAGGTTGTAGATAAAAATAACTGATTTGTTTGAATAATGACAGGTAGGATGATGTGACAGGAAGACAAGGACACAGACCAGCAAAAACAAAAGGTTTAAATACACGAGGGTAATCAGGGAAACAGGTGGGTAAGATAACAACAGGCAGGTGAGTTCAATCAACACAAACAAGGGAAATGAGACACCAGAGACACAGGAGGCTACAGGAGCAGATCCTGACAGCGGCTGTCTACAAGCTTTGGTTCTCCCCCACCTCTATCACCCATGGTGTGCCACAAGGTTCTGTGTTGGGGGTCTCTGTTATCTGCTCCCTCTCAGCACATACTGAGCTCTTTTAAAATAACTTCCTACCATCTAGATACAGATGACATCCAACTGTACATTTCCTTCCAACATGATTGATCCCAAAGCCTGAGACTCTCTTGGTCAGCTTGCTTCTCACACCAAACCCTCTGTCGAAAATGTTGGTGCAACTTTTGATTTGGCTTTGACTCAGGATTCTCATGTCAGTTTTCTTGTTTGCTCTACCTTCAATCATCTCATGAACATTGCAATGCTGAGTCCTATTCTGTAAGGTGATACAGAATGCCTGTGCTCAGCTTCTGGCCAAGTCGTCCAAATACACCCTAGCCACCGCCTCCTCTTCCTTCTGGTTCTCGTTATTAGGGCCTTACATGGCCAAGCACCATCATCTTCTTAAGCCTAATTTATATTTCTCAAGATGGTCGCACACAACGCCAATATCTGTCCTTTCAAGGGCTCTCCGACAGGCTCGTAAGGACGGATTGAGTCAAGCTTTCTTTTCTAAACATCCTTCCAAAGAGACGGAGAATGCAAGCTTGTGACCCCCAACAGATTCCCGAGTTCCAGTAATTAAAGCTGATTGTGCAGCGCACCACACTGAAGATCAAAGGTGACAGATCATTTGCTGGTGTAGCACCCAGACTCTGGAGCTCTTTACCCCTGGGCCTGAGATCAGTGGACTCAGTGCTCATTTACTGCCAGCCATTTTCTGATCAGAAAAGCCCTCGCCCTCGACTACCAATGATTTTGAGCGTTTTTTTAAGCGTCACAGAACATTGTGCTCTACAATCATGTAAACATCAAAACTACAAAAAGAAAGAGTACACTCACTTATTACATCAAGAAGAATGAATGTGTTTCTAACTTTATCCGTTCTTTCACAAGCTATTGTCTAAGTGTGAGCAGCAGACACTTTTGTGGTTAGTGCCTCACTTTTTTCACAGTAGTGTCTCAAAACAATCTCCTAACTCATGGATTGTCTGCTTTCTGATCACATGATGTGTGACACACGTGGGTGATGTTCAGCTTTAGAGCTGTGATGTTTACTCTTGCAATGCAGGGGCGTTCCGATGCCCACCCTATTGAAAAATGCAATTGATAACTTCAGTCATAATGGCTGCAAGCAGTTGAATTTAAAATGACGACTTTAGTCATCAATGACAGAGTTAAAAAGCAGCTGAAAATAGGGATGTCCCGATCTGATCACATGATCGGAAATCGGCCCCGATCACGTGGTTTCAGACTGATCGGGATTCGGGCTTTACTTCCCGATCCAGACTCGGATACTGGGTTCAAATTACAGGAGAGCAATTTGGTTCTCCTAAAGGTTGTCAGGCTCCCCTGATGCCTTTAACTTACACACCCAGAAGGAGCTAAAAAAAAGATCCAGTTTCTACCTATATTATATTATTTATATGGACTCAGATTAGCGGGGATTCTTTTGAGCAGAGATGCAGAGCGGCAGGCAGACCGCTGATTATTCATGAACTCCAGCTGCGTTCTGCACACGGCCACAGTAACATTTTCTAAGTTTCCAAGTAGCGTCACCAAAAATATATATAATTAACACACAGTCATTCATGTCTGTTAATTTTCACTCTGGTAAATTCTGTCTGTATTTGAGCATGACGTGTGGATGCGCTGCAGCGCTCGTCACTGGCACAGCCGGGCAGCACGGCGCGCATTCCGCTTTTTTTGCGGCCAATAGATCAATTTGATCTGCTAGTTAAAAAGTTACTTTTCTTTTCACTGTGAATGAAAAAGAAGGAAGCAGGCAGGAGTTTTTCTGGAGGACTGGGAGATGATGGAAGATCAGAGACAGACTGGACAGCGGGCTCATGGTGGCGCAGTTTTTAGCACTGTTGCCTCGCAGCACGAAGGTTGCAGGTTCAAAACTCAGCTGTGGCATTTCTGCGTGGAGTTGCGTGTTCTCCCGATGCATGCGTGGGTTTCCTCCGGGTACTCCGGTTTCTCCCACAGATCACAACATGCCCTATAGGTTATAAATTGTAAGTCGCTTTGGATAAAAGCATCTGCCAAATAAATAAACATAAACAATGGCCACTGAGTTTTGTTCAGTGTTTGGGTTGGTGGGGCAGGGGCAAACTGCTGGGCCTAGTAGCACTGAGGAGCTTACTGCACATTTTAACGCAACATGCTCGAAGGTCTTAGATATTGTAGCACCTGTGCAGGCTAAGAAACATAAATGTAAAAAGGAGCCATGGCTAAATATGACAACACAGGACTTAAAAAGGAAATGTAGGAAGGCAGAGCGTAGGTGGAAGCGGGATGGGCTTCAGATCTCCCTTGACCTACTGAGAGATAGCTGGGCAGCCTACCAAAAAGCTGCGAAACAGGCGATAATTCAGTTCTTTGCTGACATTATTTCCTCTAACTCACAGAATCCTCTTAGCTAAGGTCTTAGAAAAACTTGTGTATGCACAAATGATATCCTTTCTACATGAAAATGAGATGCTAGAGATT